CTGCAGCCAATGACTGCTGTCTGTGCAGCAGGGCTGTTCCACATGTATGGGCTTGAGAGCCTCACTCAGTAGTCTGCCAGCCAGACTGGCAGGAGGCTGAAAAGATAAGGAGTGGACCTGGGCTCTAGCGAGCTTTAGCCTGACACATATTTTCCTAGCTTTCCTTTCAGCAGAGAAGTTACCACAGACATTTCATCCAGTAATCCAGGGAAGAGGGCACCTGGCTGGTCATTTATAATTTGATTTGAGCTTTTAGAAAAGGGCTTTTTTCTTCTTCCCCTTCACTGACAAGTGGCTGGCATCTTTGGGTTAAGGGGAGTAGAAGATGCTGTTACATCACGAGAAGAAAAAAGGATGCAAGGACTTTAAAAGGAAATCCTTATGCGGGAGTGAAGCAACAATCATGAGGAAGGGATGACGTTTGGCATCCTTCTTCATTCACATAAAACCAGTGTGTCCCTCATGCTGGGAGCTGAGGACATATTTATTTATATGGCCTCAACTATTATAGTGTCTAAGCAGCTCTTAATCACTAACAGCTTATTCTTCAGAGCCCTCCAGAGAGGTGGAATCTTCATTTAAGAGATGACGACTGAAGCACATTTAGCAGCTGTTTTTGTGGCATGGATGTTGTTTTTCTTTCACAGTAATAGAGCAGCAACCCTCCCTCTCCTGGTGCCACTTGTACCTGGAGGACCCCTTCTGTATGAGGCCCATGTGCCCCCTGCCTCATTCAGCATGGGCTCCAAGGCAGCTCCTCGTGTTGTGCCCAACAAATCCATACTTGGTACAAAATATGTAAGCCACGTGACATGCAGGAGCACTGCAACACCCTGCTGTACACCAGGCTTCTCTGATTCTCCACATGTTCTTCATCTTCCAGAACCAGCTTCAGCAGAGCCTCATCCTTATAGGCAGAGCTGCATGTAATAAGCACGACTGCTCGACTGCTATTGCTCTGCTTTCAGCTTCATTCAGGAAAAATTGAACTGGTTCTTTTTCTTAGTTTGGAAATGAATATTGAGGTACAGGTAATGACTGTGCTTTGGAAAATATCACAGTGACTAAGCAGCTCTTCTGGGAGCCTGAGAGAGTTTCTGTGGAATTTCAACATTACTTTATGAGAAAAAAATATTAAAATAAACTCTGCATTTCTCCCTTCTTTCCTTCCTGCCACAACAAAGGCCACAGAGCTTCCCACAGATGAATATGGAAATGAGCTAAACCTGGAAGCAACATTGAGCTATGCTCTTCATTCTCCTCAGTTCACTCGTTCTCTTTCTGTTCCTACTTATGTAAATTTTAAATGTACTTAGGAATAGTTATTAGATCATATTAAGGTTCGTTTCATCATCTTGCAAAGAACAGATGGAGAGAAAGGAAGATGAGAAAAAATTGAAGAAAAGAAAAATGAAAAAAAGAGGACAAAAGGAAACTAAGAAAAGTCTAGAAAAAGAAAAGGACAGAGATAATACATATTGGTGGTGCCCTTTTCATGACAAATACCAACATACTTCTCAAGTTAAAAATTCACACGACTATTGCAGTGACTATAAAATACAGTTCAGAACAACTTGGACAGTAATGGCCTTACTGAAGTGCCATGAAATGTTTAGCTGACTTCAAGTATTCAGAACACTGCCTTTCCTTCTGTTCACACAACGTTAGCAACACTTACGCTTTAAGGACCTATTTACTCATTCACAGCAAACTTCACTGAATTCCATGGTTTTCTAGATCATCCTTGGCATGATCCGTCAGGCCAAACTGCTTCTCCACTCTGTCTTTCTCATGAAGCAATGCTGCCCTATGTTGAGAGCTGCCCAGTTGGCACAACAGGACAACATACTACAAAGGGCATTTATGTTTATAACTGCCCCTGGTACACCTCTCCTTCTGCCAACGCAGTCTGGACAGCTTGCATGAGGGATCCCTCTGACAGCATCCTCAGTTCTTGTAAGCACATATGGAAAGCATGCCCTCAAAACTCATTTCAGGGTCCTGATACTACTGCACACAACTCTCTGTAACAACTCTGTGGCATCATCGAGGTGCCCCCTAGCACTGGGGAGTACCCTATGTGATTCTCAGTATAGGTAGCTAAAAAGTAGGTGCAGGTAACTAAAAGAAGAGCCAGCACTTTCCATACAAGTAGCAGGTAAAGGGATTTCAGCTGCCGCTATTCAGTCCAGCAACCAACCAACCAACCAACCAACCAACTAGCTATCAGTGAATGTGGTACAGCAGTGACCAGCTACAACACATTTCACCAGGGAGCATCATATCTCTTGTTTATACCTGGTCAGCCAAACTGATTTAAAAACAAAAAAAAAAGCGCAAATTAAAACTGAAAGGACTTGCCTCCCATTACTTGTGCCCATATGAAGGCATATTAAAAGTAGCAAGACACCAAAGCTCAAAAATTTACCCAAAATCACAAAGCTGAATAGTAACAGATCTGATCACAGTATGGGGCCTATCTACTCTTTAGTCAGTGTATGTTTCAAGGAATCTTGCCATTTCTGCAAAACTACCACAGAAGTCTTAGGAGTATCAAACTACTAAAACTCAGGGGTATTGTTACCTCCAGAAGCAGAGATTTAGTGGGAAAGAAGCTACAAAATTTGTTTAAAATGTGGGGAGAAAAAAATAATTTCAAAAAAAAAGGATATTGTGGAAGAGAAATTTATTGTGGTTAATAAATGAGTGAATGTGAAAAAAAAAAAAGGACTAGAATGTAAAACAGTCGTAACAGGTATAGGAAAACTGAGGGGAGCAGAAGAAAATGAGAGAAGTAAAGATGAAAGTTGGAGGTTTTTCTGGTATAAGATTTCACTCCTACACAGAGAAACGTTTCCAGACAGAATCTTTATTTTCCAGACTAACTTTTGTTCTTAAAATGTCTTCCTGAGGTGACTTAAACTGGAGAAGAATCCATAATCTGAAGAGTCTGATGGACATCGACAGTGGAGTGTTTTAATATCAGCCACTGCTTGATCTTTTGAATCTGTCTTGATGTTGCTTTTCTAACACTATTTTTTAATTGCTGCTTTCCTGTGTATTCTAATGTTTCTGCTACCTCATTTGACCAATCTTAATGTACAAATAAACTCACTTCCATTAGTGTTGCAGAGTTGAGTAGAATGTGGGCCACTAGCCATTAAAATTCATTTGGAATTTTATGCCACAGACAAAACAATCTGGATTTTATCGAGTGTAAAACCAGTCAGAAATCTTGGGAAATTTGTTGATAAATATATATTCTATTGACAGAATTTGCAACATATGTTCATGCTACATTTAACTATGATATATTTCACTTTTGCAGTCTCCCATGTGTACTTGAAACTGCAAATTTGTGTGGTAATATAATAATGATTTGTTATTGTATTTAAAAATTGCAAATATGGGTATTAACATTAAGGTCTATGTATCTTCAGCTTGGTTACTATCATGACATGATTTTTCCTACCTATACTGGACACTTAGAAAAACTATTTTTCATAGTTTCAATGTTTTACATAATATGCTAATCAAAGATTATCCTTCTTCTGTGACCTCACTTCTTCATTCAACAAATCACTGTCTTAAGTTTTACTTTACCTTTTTCTTCTTTTTCCTCACAAACACGTCACAGTATATCAGTAAAATATTCCTATGTACTGATGGGTGCTATTTTGGATAGCCTTTTTACATACTAGATATCACCATTACAGTACCATTTTCCAAAAAATCTGATTTTCACATGATTTTAAAGCCACATCACAATGTTTTCACATTATTGAGGAAGTAGTTGATGTGACTGTGCCTTAGATTTTTATACAACTCTCCTGATTGAGACAGTCTCTCATATCAGTGATAGCAATTTATTTTTTTGGCAGTATAATTCTGAGGTTTTCATAAATAAAGATAATTTGGAATATTATTTTTATAGATGTTACTTTTTTTCTGTTTAAAAAGCAGAAATATTTGCTAATAACTTTAAATGTGAAGTTGATCTTATTTCTGAATAGTCTTCATGGGAGGAATTATAAAGAAGATATCCATTATGCTGTTAAACATCTCATTGATTTTAAAACTAAACGCGTTTAATTGCAGGTTTACATATTACAAAATTGTATTGTACTTGGATGCTGAGGTCTTGCCACTGTTTTTTTACCTTCTTCTAAAGCAAATAATTTCAGCAACAGTGAGCAGCTCTCAACTATATGTAAGACTAGAGCGAAAATGGGAGGTGCAGGGTGCTAGTATTAACTACAATATCTAAAAATTGCCTGTAATATGAGAAGTGGATATGGATTTCTACAGATATTTGGATTTAGCATATGAAGAATGACTTACAATGGAGGTGGCAGTCATTGATGGGTATTTTTTGTCAGATCAAGGCCATCTTCCTCAGTTTGGAAGAAAATATGTTCTTTATGTTTTGGAATATGCACTCGGTTTGCGTATCTCTCCAGATAAATGAGTTACCCTTTTAGACATTTGGCAATTAGAAGTAGGACCATTCAAATTTCAATGCATAATTGAACTACAGATGCAAATTTTGTAGCCAAAGCATATCCACAAACATGAGTTTCACCCTTTTGGAAATTTACCTTTTTATTTGCACTACTTGACTACAGAACATCCTGAGTCAAGCTTATGCTGTCAGTGCTTTAGAATTATCCGTTGGCCACCAACAAGATGTATCTTTTTCCGGTTCTATTTGACTCATCACTTTTGCCTGTCCCGCAGTCCCACTCATGCACAGGTCCCAAACCTAGTGTGAGAGCTCCAATAAATTTTGACTGCCACCTTCTGTGGCATGTGTAAACTCTACATGAATCACTACCACTGATGGCGAAGCTTTTATCATCTCCATACAGTGCCTCTTCAGTGATCTTTCTCTTCATCTAGATGTTACACAACATTACTGCTGCCAAAATTCCTTTTCCATTCATTTCATGCATACCTACTGCACTGACCCCCTTGTGTGCCTGTGTCTTGTCCTGAATGCTAAATGCTGGCCAGGTGAGTGGCATGGTCATTTGGCAGGAGATATGAGGAACTAGTGACATATATCCATTAGCTACAGGGTGACTATGGAAAAGGTCATCTATACAGCAGTGGAAAAAAGCCCTATTGTCTTCATTATTTCAATGTGGCTGTGTTGAATTGTAATCGCTGTGTGATAATTCAGGAATTTATTCCAATTGATTTTGTATAACAAGAATAATGTCTCATTATGTTGTGTGATACTCCACAAAGAAAGACCGTGAAATAAAATAGTGCTTTAGTCAGTGGTGTTCTACATGATAAGAGTTATCCTATGAAAGACATTGTCCTATCATTTTCTCTAGCGTCTGGGTTTTCTGTCTTTCATTTATTACTATTTTGTGATGACAGTAACAGAGATGTTGTTTTTCAAATTCATTACTATTGCTGTTTCTCAACATTTCCCATGGTGAGATAGAGCATCGTGCTTCCATTTCCCTGCTAATCACTTTCTCCAAGGAAACAGATAGGTTTCAAATTTATGTTGATAATGAAGGTGCTATTTGTCTACAGCTATCTTGGTAAGCCTTTTTTCTCTCTGTCTTTTTTCTTTTTCTCTTTCTTCTTCTTTTTTTTTCCTTTCTTTTCAGTACAGCAGCCTTTGTGCTTTCCAGGTCACTGGAAATGGGACAGAATGCTCTGAGCGGTGTGCCCTACTGAGTGGAACTGTTTTGTTCACATGCACTGATGCTCCCTTTGTAAAGAAAAATTGCAGTCAGGAGAATGCAAAGGTGAATGTTTTTATCCTATGCTCTAAGTTTAACAAAACAAACACATAACAGGCCTCCTCTGTATTTCAAATATTTCACAGATGTGGTCAGGTGCTGATAATTCCATTTTGCTATGGCACTTAATTTTTATTGCACTAATGTTTCTGTGAAGCTGTTTTATTTATGCAATGACAGTCTAAAGTGGAGGTATTGTCCAAAGAAAACTTGTTTCTTTACGGAGGCTTTCTCTGCATAAATAACATTTTTTCTCATATTATTCTAATATTCCTAATGTTAAAGGAAAAAGTAAAAGTTTGTATAAAAAAAAAAACAAACGTGTAAGAGCACTTGAAATAATAATAATCTGCATTATTTTAAAGGATCTCAAGGGGCAACATCTGCTTTGCAAGGAAATGCAGTGAATGCTTGCTGACCTGAGATGCAACACAGGAGAAAAGCTGAAGTGAGGGAAATCTTTGCTATAAAGACATAGTTTTTATAAACACACACACACACACACACAAAAAAAAACCCAAAAAGTCTCTTGCTTTAAAAAAGGTAAAAATGGAGCTATGGAGCTCACCCTGTCTTGAGTCTAATGCAATAGTTTTTTCCTATCTGCTATTTTGTGAGATGTGTACTCAAAGACTGATGGATTTGGGTGCAGAAAAGAAACAGAAAAGGCAAAGACTCGCTGAAATATTTCAAAACAATAAACTTTTAGTTGTCATTCAGAGAAGGGAAGGGGAGGGGAGAGGAAGGGAAGGGAAGCTTTGAAATTATAACTGGCTAACTGTGCTCATAAAAATTATATTCTCAATATGTTTTGAGTGTTATACCATAAAGCAAACTGAATAAAAGTCTCATTCTTATTCATGTCTATAGAACAGCAAACCACTAAAGACTTCATCTCTAACAGACTGAAAACTTCAGTGGTTTCCTTTTTCTGGGAAATCACAATTTTTACAACTATAGTAAATATTTTGGAATGTACTAGCAGATTTTTTTTTCATAATGTATCTTTTGTTGAATATCCAGTCAGAATCATCCACACAGTATCTGACAAAAGTTCTTTCATTAAGAGAAAACAGCATATATGTACATATAGAATCATAGAATAGTTAGGGTTGGAAAGGACCTTAAGATCATCAAGTTCCAACCCCCCTGCCTATACACATAGGAACGCAATTTAAGATTGTTCTATACTCTAGAAAAAACCTGGTTATGCAGACTATTACTAGAGCTGATGAAAACAACCCAGCTATGTGTCCTATACCACAGAAAAAGGCATGAACCTAGATTTCCAAAATACAGAAAACTTTGACTCACTCCAGTTCAATATGTTTGCATACGTCCATTTTCAGGAAGGGACTGGTCACTTGTTTAAGTGCTTTGCTAGGGCAGTACCAAAGTATTTCATACTTTGCAGTATTGAGTTTTATCTACTATTTACCATCTTTCTGGTTTCCTTGACTTTGGAGCATGTTTTCACTTAGGATTCAGTGGCAGACTGCCATTTTCTGAAGCACTGTCATTGTTGCCTTTAGAATCTGGGCTTTATAAATAAGGCCTTGAGCCTGTTAAGTGTAAGAAATAAGACCAGATCTCAAGTTCAGGTAGTACCTCTGACGGGATTCAGAAGTACATATTCTCAAGTAAATATACATGTGAGCAGTGTTCCCCTGACACGGGGAACTTTATCAAACTGGAACACTGAAATGCACGAAAACAAGAAAGTAATCAAATGTTATCAATAATCCTGGACTATCTTCTATGGAGGGTATCCTTTATAATCTGCAGAGAAACTTTGATATTTAACCTGAGTTTTAGGACAAACTGACTAACCTCAATTTTTAATTCTAGGCATGCTTCAGTTTCTAAAGTTCTCCCTAGGCACTTCAATGCAGAATTTCTTTGATTCACTGCAAAATGAAGTTTGACATATCTTATTATGAGAAATACTTCATTTGAAAATGTACAGAATAGCTCTAGGAAAACAACAGTACACTCAGAAAACCTTGCCAGTAGTGCAGCCTTTCTACAAATGCAACTGACCAAATTGAAATAATATTTCCCATTAACAATGAAGCTTGCAAATAGCTGTGAGTGGAATTGGTGAAGGTACTCTCACTGTAACACTGTTAGCCAGAAAATGTTTAATTTATAAGTTTGCTATGCTGTCCTGAGAGCACTTACAGAGAATTCTGTGGTCTCACTCATTGTAAATAGCACTCTCACCTCTCTTTGTTGCTGTGGGAAAAACATAGGTGGAATATTTATGCAGCGAGTCTTAACGTACCAGTTCCTCTGAGTCAGTGTAGAAGACATTTCACAAGTGAAGTGACTGAATCCCAGGTTGCATAAAACAAGTCTGTCAAAACCTCATAACCATTTTGTCCTTCTCAGCAGAATACTGTCATTTAAGTGAAATCAGTGGAGTAATGCCCACTAACAAAGGGCTTGGATTTAGTTCTGCAGCTTTTCCCCCACCCTTCTTTTCTTTTCCATTCATTGTTCTCCTCTTTCACTGACATCTACAATGGTATCTTACACACCCAGACATGGCTGATATTGGCCCACACTATAAATCAGATTGTTAATTCATACTGTTAGTGTTTCTTATTTTCTGAGGATTCCCTGGGATGTCACAGCCTTTTCCTTTCCTCCCAAAGAAAACTGCAAAACATGTTCCCTGGTTGGCTCAATATGTTAAGATTATTCCACTGAATAGGCTGTCGGGGCAGGTGGTGGTGGTGGAGAGAGGGGGTGAGAATGAAGAAAAGGACACTCTTTATCCATATAGGTTTTTATTGGTTAAATTTATCAGACAAAGCTGTTAGCCCTTTGGAATCAAAAGGTCATTAGTTGTGAATGCAGGGGTGCATGGGATACCAAAAGCAAGTTAAACCATCATGGCTTTCTCATCATTCCCAGTACCACTGTGTCCTCCATGAGGCTTACTCATGTCTGGGAGACACCTCAGTGATAACCAGCTGGAGAGAAAGAAACTGGCAGCCTCACTGTCACTCCTAAGGGGTCATTTCCATCTTCAGCTTTTTTCCATTTTTAAAAAAATCTTCCTCTCCGTTTTATTACTAAAAAAAGCCTGCAGTTTGCAAATCTCAACATTTTGTTGTGAGCCATGGCTGTCATGTTGAGATAAATCAACGCCTTCAACAGCCAGATATGGTGAAGGATTTGCTAGCTGTGTGAGCAGCCCATCTGACCAGGTGCTGTATTTCTGGTACAAAGAGGGAGTACAAAGGAGTTAGCACCAGAAATAGAAGCATTTTCCAGAAACATTTTCCCTTTTCATCATTTTGTTTCCTTGGGTGCATTTTTTGTTATCTATATAAGAAAGATAATGCTGCTACAAGAATAGTCCCAAGTTTTCTCTTCCTCCCACTAATGACTCTAAATCATTCTTGATACCATCCAAAATATTGTCCTGCAGAAGGGGGAGGTTTATACACTTCTGAATGAGCAAAATTTTAAATGCAAATTTTACTTGGCTGAATGCTCAGAAAAGGAGACAGTGGGTTCATTACAATATGCAGTGGTTGAGATGCATTTTAGAGTTAAGGACCAAGGTGTCTCATAGTGTGGTTAGGGTGAGTACAAGAAAAGGCAACCAGTACTGCTCCTCTCAGATGTGTAGTACGTGCTCAGTGTAGCAAACATGATGACTGCACTATGTTGCCAGTGGCCTGACCACAACACATTGATTCTTTGGTGCTCTACTTAGAGAGTAGTCCATTACTCAACTTACCTGCCAATTGGACAGAAATATTTTCATGTTCTTCCACCTCCAGCACAATCACTGGAAGTCTAGATCTTTATTATTATATGTATCTGCCTTAACAAGCCATGGCAATGTAGCTTTTTTTTCTCATTTCCATGCATGTAAATGAGGATGTAAGGGTGTGCAGATATAGAGAGCTGTCAGTTACCTCATGTTCTCTACCCTGTCAATAAAGTCATTCAGAAATACAGCTTCATCACGTAACAGTAGCTTTGAAAGAAACGTAAAAAAGCCTCTTTTACATCACGGAGTCTCCTTCATAGGTGTGCTGAAGCAGGAGACCTAATTACTTTATTGGCTGTCTGCAAACAGGCAGATAAAGAGTAAAATATTACATCCTAGCACAATGACCAAGCAGTGGCAGCAAAAAGAGGAAGGGTAAGAAGATAAAGAAATTGTAGTTTTGTTGTTACAAGGAAAACAGTACAAATCTTTGGGGAAACATGCTGAAAACTGGTGTTTAAATCGGTGTAGGTAATATAGGTATTTTCAACCAGGTGTTCAGTTAATAGGATTTAATATAATAGGTGTTGCCACCTGCTCCATCTACATTTGTATTAATAAAAAAGAGCACAGACATGCTGTGACCTCAGTCTGCATCAGCACATTGGAGAATTTGGGCATTCTCTGCTGCTTGTAAATATTCTTTCTTCCTTTGGAGATGTGCACAGGTGAATGTATCTGTGGGAACTGATAGAAGCAGTTCACCAAGATAAAGTGCTCCTATATTTCTGACATTTCAAAAAAATCTGCTTCGTTCTTAAATAAACCGTTGAATGAATATTCTCATAGAACACTACTCAAGCATGCAATACAGATTCACTAAAAGCCTTCCACTGCCCTCCAGATACACTTAAGAAAATAACTCCAAATGGAAGGATGATACACACAATAGCTAAAGGAAATACAGTCACATTCAAAAAAGATGAAGAAATCAGAAGCAGCCACCTGCATTTCTGAAAAGTCCTTTGGGTCTTGCTTTTGACAGTCTAACAAAACACTTCACAGCCTACACCCATGTCTGCTCCCAAAGCTTTCAGGTTGAACCGCAGGCTCTGGCTTGCCTTGCTGTTATGAGAATAAGTTGCCTTTATGAAAAGCTGTTACTTAGGAATAGGAAAGACGACTAGAAATCAGTAGTAGCCAGGCAGTTCTTCCTCAGGAACTTTGTTAAGCATTAAAAAAAGAGTAAGCAGAAGAACTGCAGGAGTGTTAAGGGATGGATCCCCAAGACTTTCTTCTATGCAGTCAGAATACCCCAGGTGCCAGCTCCAGCTGCATGCAGAGGTAACTCAAGTTCAAATTTTGCATGTGCCATGGGACAGAGGGAAAAGTTCTGTCCTGGGCCCACTGTTTGAAATAAAATTGGGAAGAGCCAGTCATGAAGGGGGTTGCTTGATATCATCTTTTAGAAAAAAATAGAACACATTTTGACAGTCAGAAGCAAGAAAACATGATAAGAAAGTTGGGGTTGTTCAGCCTGGAGAAGAGAAGGCTGCGTGGAGACCTCATAGCAGCCTTCCAGTATCTGAAGGGAGCCTACAAGGATGACAGAGAGGGTCTCTTCGTTGGGGACTGTAGTGACAGGACAAAGGGTATTCGGTTCAAACGTAAACAGGGGAAGTTTAGATTGGATATAAGGAGGAAGTTCTTTACTGTTAGTGTGGTGAGGCACTGGAATGGGTTG